CCTGTGATGGACTGGCATCCTGTCCAGGGTGTGTGTTTGTGTGTGTGCCCTGTGATGGACTGGTGTCCTGTCCAGGGTGTGTGTTTGTGTGTGTGGCCTGTGATGGACCGGCGTCCTGTCCAGGATGTATCCTGCCTTGTGCCTGTTGCTTGCTAGTATACGTTCTGGCCCCCCTGCTACCCTGAAATGGATAAAGCAGTTAGAAAATGGATGGAGAAGCCAAGACACATTTTCACAGATTTGTTGAAATCACTGGAGATATCAAAGAACCACCCAGCATTGAAACATAGACCCAACAGCTTTGATTATTAAGAATGGACAGAGCTATTTTGGTGTTTACATGAATTTAAGAAACTGGGTCTAGTTTCTAGTTCTTTGATATCTCCAGTGAACATGAGGCAGGGGGTTTGTTTTTCCTAAACTAACATTATCTGACAGATAGAACATTAGATCCTCCGAATACGCATCTGGACTTTTAATCGAGGTTTTTACCTTTGAGGATATTGGCCCCGTTCCTAAATCGGCAACATTCTGATTTTATCTCTGTTGTTGAAAAACGGCTTAAACACGTACCCACCAAACTGAAGTAAGTACCAACCCAAAACCCTTCTTGGTTGGTTAGTTCATCTGTCCATTGTTTATTTTTTTAATAAAAAGGGTCATAATGTCTTTACTGAAATGTTTATCAAGATGTAATGAAATGCTGAGCATTATGTAATCCTGTCTGTAATGGCAGCCTCCGAGAAGCCTGAGGCTGTATCATTAATGACCAAAATAACTGCCTTAAAAAGTAAAGAAAAGTTTAAGCAAGCAGGAGCCAATTAGCGAATCGTGCTTTACTGGTTTCTAAGCCATTGATAGTCTGAGAGCTTCTTGAATAAACACAAGGGATAATCATTTTCAGATCATGTCAGAAAACTGGAAGGGTCAGCACACTAATATTGCTAATTGAACATATTAACAATTCATTTCATTCAGTTAACCTCTATAGAGTTACAAGACATTAGAATGGGTTTTCCATTTCTTGGAACTAATTAACTGGTTGTTTAAATTGTATGATATTGTGTTAAATTTTCTGTAGCATTGTCATCTACTATTGCACTTGTTTGGCTAATGCTCTCAGAAAACAAATCTTGCTCATATTGTGTTTCCTGGGATGTGTTTATATATGAAATGCTTCGATATTCCAAACCCTTTACCAAACTAAGCACCAGCTTCCTACATTATTCAACCAGCATTCAGCAGGCAATTTCAGGTTGACTTGATGATTGTGATTTCACCAAACACAGTGGTACTGTATATGCCATGATGGATTCAGGGGTTTGATCATTGTGGGAACCTCCTGCAAGGGTAGTATTGAGCAGTGTGAACAGATGAGTTGGCGATATAACATCTCTGTGTGAGGAGGCAAGGTTCTTATTCTTTGTTTCAGACCAGTTTATCAATAGAATATTTGAATATTTGAGTGGGAATATGTAGTTAAATAGGCTGATTTAAGATACTTCAAAAAGATTTTATTTGCATGGTTCAGTAGAATGAATCTGTTTCAGACACCATGTACTTCTAACTTGTTGTTACTAGATTTGGTTTGTTAATTGATGCTCCTCTGAAGTTTTAGGACATTCATGGATTTGTACACTAGAGGACTTTCTAAGAACTGGCAAAGGAAAGCGAAAGAATGCAAAAGAGAAAGGAGTAACCATCCAAAAAGGAGAAGACAGGTTTAGTCAAATTGTCATCCTGATTCTATCCAGTCCATTCCTGAGCCCAATACCAGTCAATTTAAAAAAGACAGATTGTTCCAGTGGAAATGGGCAGCACAGGACCTATGTGGAAAAAAAGCAATCCAATCTGTCTTCCTATAGTCTACATTGCTTGGCACTATCAACTCAACTGCCAGTTAATGCTGAGGGACAGGCCGCTGATAGCTTTGCTGGCCCACTCATCTTCTAAAGAACTGAATGAAAAAAGATACTGTTTCATGGTATTTGGCTTTTTGCAGCCTGACAACACTTTTACAGATGACAGGCATAAAAATGAGATATAAAAAAGCTTTATCCTCTTCCCCTGTCATCTACTGATTGATTGATTGATTGATTGATTGATTGATTGATTGATTGATTGATTGATTGATTGATTGATTGATTGGAAGCGTCATTATAAAACTATGATTGTGTCTGTATTGGCTCAGAAAGGTTCCATGAGGAGCACAGCTCATTTTAGGGGAGCTCTTCTCCTGATTTCCTAATCACTTTTACCTGATTTACCTGAGTTGGGTAAGAATTTGTTACATACAGTAAATGAATGCTCAAAGGGATACACATGGGAGAGGGCAAATAGACCTGGTCTTGAAATTGCCTTTAAAATTCAAAGAGCATAAAGTGTTAATAAGGATATCTGTATATTTTATGAACACAGAAGCAACAAAGAGCAACCGATATCCCAGAATAGTTATATTAGTAGATCAAAAAGAATACTCTGTACTGTAGAGAACATAGTGGCATGTTACAATATTAACTACTACTCCCACATTTATTCAATCTAATATACGATGATATTTGATGAAATTAAAATTACATTCTCCCAGAATCATTTCTGAATTCTGCTCAACATGAGTATGTTACACTAATATTTAATATGAAAGTTTTCTAAATAAGATGCTCATTGTATTATAGTCTGATATCACATCCTTACAATGTTTTGAAACAATATAGCCATTTCTATGACAGTGATATCTTTCTATCTTTTCCTTGAGCAGATCATATGAATTCTAGATCAGACCTTGCATAGCTGTCACATATAGAATATATGATTGAAAGGTTCAGAGTGCTTCTTTCTCGGGAATCCATGTTTGATACATGTTTGGTAAAAGAAGTGTTTAATGGAAGAGAAGCAATGTTTACTCATAAACCAAGTAGAATCGACAGTGTTGTTTAGTAATAAGCAATGATGTAAATGTGTGATTTTAATTAAAACGCTGGTGCAAATGCAATCAGAGAGGCGAATTGCTCATTAAATTCTGTGGATGGGGAAATCTTCCCACAGAGTGCCCATTTGTAAATTAAGTACAGTACTTGAAACATTCTGATCTTTAGGGTCCTGCTGAAACTCCCAGCTGAAATCAGAACTTCAGAACAAACCACAGGCTGTCCAGAGAAAATGTTTTCTTTGCACATTGAGAGTGTTTCAGATAATAAAGAAGCATGCAGGTCTAATGTGGTTATTTAATTTTAAAATGGTCTTTCCAATTATATCTGGAAAAATACGGATCTAACATACTGTAGCAACATCATCACAAATACATTGTTGTAGGAGGAAAAAACATCAAGGGATTCTATGTTCTGCTGATAAATCTTCTTTTTTTCGTGTGTGAAAAGGACAGTGACCTCAAGACTCAATCTTCCAAAATCTCTGTATTGTGTCCTATTATCTGCATGAATCATGACATGATCATCTGCCATGGTGACTGGTTTTATGGCTTGAAGCTGTACTACGACACTTTGCAATAGTACTGCAGTCAGA